GTTAAGCTCCAAAATATGAGTCTCAAGGTCTGCAGCACTTACTCTACTCACCTCTGAAGCTATCTCTGAAGCTTTTTTGGCATGTTGTATCTCAAGGGTGTCAATGCAAACTTGCATTCCTTTCCCTTTAATTTCAGACTCCAGATCTTTCTTGTATTCTTTCTGGAAAAGAGCAACATTTTACAGCATTCACTCAGGGGACAATCGTGTATCTGTACTCAATGATACTAAAAAAATCGCTAAATATATTTATAAAGAAAAGGAGAAGAAAAAAAACATAGCTTACTTAATGCGATGAATGATCAGCTAGAAGGAAAGTCTCTGAACTGCTTAGAACTATAAGCACAATTCTCACTGAAGTAAAGTGTATAAAGTTCTGAAATGTTTTACTGTAAAAAAGGCAACTGCCAGGTGAGAATCTTCACTGACAACTGTCTTGCGGTCTGGAGGACAGGGAGGTAGGTTTAAGCAAATGGATGTTGTGGAAAGAAGATGCTGTGTGACACTGGAATGTTTCTTAACATTTTTGGTTTACTAATCTGCAAAATGGGGATGATGATTCCTCATGCAGGGTCACTGTGAGGGGTGTCAATAGCTGGTAACTTCTGGTCTTTTACTCCTGTACCTGTACACTAAGACCTTATCTACTGCTGCTTCTGCCACCCCCTTGCCATTCAACTGCACCTGACCTGACTAGACTCTGCCACTGAGAGTTCAAGACAATTTTTCCAAGTGTTACTGACAAGTGATTATAAGATCTACCTGTGAATGTATGCTGGATATGTTGTCATAATAAAAGAATTTGTAGAAAATTATTAATGTAGGAATACGTAATGATAAATTAGCCAAAGATCATAGTGAATATCTGTTGGTTTTGCCTGACTAGCATCCATTCCTCCTTCTTCTGGAAAAAAGTTCCATAATTTTCTTTTCAGGAATCACCTCTAACCCCTCTCAATCCATACACTTTGGATGGGTTGACTGTCCTACTCCCCACATGTATTTTTAATTCCACTAGAATGCTTTTAGTGGTTGCTTTAATTTATTTAAAGAACATGAATATGGTCAAAGATGAATGTAAATTAGTTTAAAACACATCACAACTTAGAATATTTTCTATTTAAAACATTGTTAAACTGCCTAGGAAGTTAACTATACAAATGGGTGACCAGGAGAACCATCCGAGGTCATCAGCATATTACAGTTCCCTGACACCACATACAATGACTGGGTCAGGTCTGGGCACAGGATAGAGAGTGATTCGATGAGATCCAATCCTTGGACTTAAATTATAGCTATAAGAACACAGATGTTCCTTCCCACTGGGATTACTGATCACAGATATGGATTATCTTATTAAGAGGGGCCATCACTTAGAGACAGCCTCCCAAGAGTGAAGCTATAGAGAAGATAACAGAGCTAAGAAATGAGGAAGAGAGACAACATTTGAATTCTATCCTGAAGGCAACTTGATCTTTGGACTTCTCCAGTCAGAACTCAAACATTTCCTTTGTTGCTCAACCCAGTTTGAGTTGGGTTTCTATCATTTGCAATCTGACTAATAGGGTCATCATCATCATCATCGCCCCAGTTTATTAACAAATGGGCATAAAGCTTTGAATTTTTTCACTGCAAATTCAGCTAGGTTCTCAAGGCACAGTGCCATTATTTGATACCAAAGTAATAATGTAGCACAAGAATTAAAGGACTGAAAGCACTTTGGAGGCACTTCATTCCTTCTTACAAATTTCCTGTAAAGTGAGCAGTGGCACTTTCATGTCATAGAGGCTTAACTAGACGCACGCAGAAGTCTAGGCAAGGACTGGGAGAGCCGGTCGATTTGTCAGCACGAGAACATTTAAGCTGCAGTTACCCACAGACCGTGATAACACGGCCTCCTAATCTTCTGCCTTTTACTTGCTTAAAAGTTACATCTCATAAACTTATTCTGGTTTATAACACAGAGTGGTCTCTAAAATGGTATTTTTCTCAGACCACATAAAAGGAGATAATGAGTATCATTTTAAAAATTCATTGATTGCGAAAAGACTATCAGGATATAGCTATTCATAATTATCTTACACATAAGAGTTATGGAATATATAGAATCAATATATTTTTATCTATAACAATATCTATTATATTTATATTTTTATCTGTTAAAAGATACAAAATCTGCCCGGCCGGGCGTGGCTCAGTGGTTGAGCGTCGACCTGGGATCCAGGCGATCGGGGTTCGATTCCCGGTCAGGGCACATGCCCAGGTTGCGGGCTCGATCAATGACTCTCATCATTGATGTTTCTATCTCTCTCTCCCTCTCCTTTCCTCTCTCTGAAATCAATAAAGATATATTAAATAAAAAAAAATAAAAATAAATTTTAAAAAAAAGATACAAAATCTTTGAGAAAGATTTATAGAGAAAAAAATCAGCTAAAAATTCATACATTCCCAGTTGCTGAATAAATATACTCACCTCACTCGCCATTTCAGATGCTCGTTTTGCTCTTTGAATATCAAGAACTTCTGAACTAAGTTCCATTCCTTTCCCTTTTATTTCATTTTCCAAATCTTTTCTATATTCCTTCTATGAGACAAGAATATTACAATTTGAAATTTACCAGGAAGCTCTTTAACCTTTAGACTGGTTTACTTATTTTCTAGAGCCCACAGAACGGAGAAACTATTTCTAGAAAGGAATGAATCAGACTCCCCAGCATTCATGCTCCTTATTTCCTACAGAAATTTTCTCTTTTAAACATGTTTAGAGTGGCTTCTAATATTATCAATCTTTTCTCTTTCATCCTTTCTTCCAATATATTTTGGAGCCACATTTTTTAAAAGATGTCTTCCCAGGTGGCTGGATGTGGCTCAGCGGTTGAGCATCGACCTAGGGCCCAGGGGATTGGGGTTCGATTCTGGGTCAGGGCACATGCCCAGGGTGCAGACCCGATCCCTAGTATGGGGCATGCAGGAGGCAGCCGATCAATGACTCTCTCATCAGTGATGTTTCTCTCTCCCTCTCCCTTCCTCTCTCTGAAATCAATAAAGATATAATAAAAAAAAAAAAAAAAAAAAAAAGTCTTCCTTTTAAATGGTGAAGATCTTAGGAATACATGCTTCTCATTCATTATTTGAAGTATTTTTTTCGAAAACTGTCTATATAATATGAATCACCAAAAGAACATAGTTGAAAAGAATGGAAAGTTACAAAATCCAAAGGATTGGTGTAGCCACAGTTTTAAAAATAAGTTTTCATTTTATTCAAAGACTCATAAAACCAAGTAATTTCCTACAGGTTGCTAATATATAGTTTGAATCTCACCTATTTTAATATTATATTTTAAGTAGATCTAAATGTTTTTACTAACAAATATACAACTTGAGGTTTTCATACTAATGAATTGTTTTCTCACTAACTGCATTATGAAAATAATATCTTAATCCAATTCTACTAAATTGCACTTATGAAAGATGAGAGTTCCTTTAATGATAAGAAATCATGTTCCAGTTAATTCTAGGGTTCATTTCCTGTTATTTTCTCTTTGTCCAATATAATTAAATTAGCTGGTCCTCTGCTTAACTAATAACCTACAAGACATTGTAATGACCTGCATGTAATTTTGGAAAGAGCTCTGGCATCAAATGACCTGTAGGAAAGTCAGAGTACTTTCAATAATTTGGTCATATGACCTTCAAGAAGATTTTAAGTAACTGAGCCTTGATTTCCACATGGGCAAAATGAAAATAAAATACTGATCTACCAATGTTAAAAGATAATTGGGAGAATCAAGTGAAATGAAACATCAAATGATATTTTGAACATTCTAAATGGCAACTGCATGTAAAAACCATAGTAAAGTAAAATATTTAAAGAGTAAATGCTTACACTTAGAAAAGAAAGTTACAATTCCATTAAGTCACTATGAGTACTACCTTTTTAAATTAGGTCTCTAACTGAATTAAAAGATTTTTAATCATAGACTTCTGGACCTTTTTTCTATCCTAAGGTATATATCCTGAACCAATAAATCTAAATAAAATATTCACTCAAAAAGAGGAATAAAAGAAAAAGCAATGTTATTATATTAAAGTCATTTATGGATCTCAAAATAGATCTCACATTGTCATTTTTATGTAAATGATGAGAAGCTTTCCCCTTTTAAAAATTCACATAATTAGTGAATATTTCTTATTTTTTAAATATCCTTCTATTGATTTTTTAGAGCGAGGGGAAGGGAGAGGGAGAGAGAGAGAAAAATCGATCCCCCGCCTCTTGCAAGCTCCCTGCTGGGAATCAAGCCTCTCAACCCCAGGCATGTGCCCTGACCAGAATCAAACTGGCAGCATCTTGGTCCATGGAAGACACTCAACCAACTGAGCCACACCAGCCAGGCAAGAGTGAATATTTTTTAAATGGAAATCAATAATAGCAGAAAGTTGCTATTTGATTAGCTTTCAACTTCAAAATACTTTATAGGAACAAAAGTGAGAAAAGATAAGGTAACAAAAGAATTCTTCCATAAACTATATGCTTATTTCAACCCAACATGTATTACAACAGTGAATCACATTAAATGAATAAAAGCAGTTAAATGATAAAGGTCAGTTGGAACTTGGTTTTTAAGATGATGCACTTCTGTGTAGGTAGTTATACACATTTATTTCATTGGTTTAAGACATTTCTTTCAGAAATAATTTCTTCAGTTCAAAATTCAGGATGAAATGGAGTTCTTCAAAGCTTTCCTTAATGTAAATAGAATCTATTTAAACAGGGAGTTGGAAGAGCTCCAAGTTACTTTGTAGGCATTTGAAAAAACACACAAAAACCCCACAAAGACAAAACTTTTAAAGGGATGGACGGTGAGCATGGTATTTTTGTTAGATTTGAGGACCTTAATACTCAATAAATTTAATACACTAATTGTGAGCCAAATGCACCACTAACTTTGGGAGGGGGGGAATCCTGCCGAGAATAAAATAAAAAATGGACATGAGTTCCTTTGTTCTATATGCTAAACATATTTTCCCTACTTAGAACACAAACCACTTATAAATAATGTACCATTTATTCAGACTTTCACACATAAGCATCTTATTTCTAACATCAAATGTCACGAGAATGCTGCAGGGAAGTTTAAGAAAGAGCTGGTTCTAACATGAAAATTTAAAATTCTATTAGTAAAGGTCAAAGTGAGGGGAAAAGTAACAGATTAATATCTGAAACTCATTGAATTAGTAGAGAATTGATAAGTAAATACTTTCAGCATTATTTCTTTCATTTTTAGTCTCTTTTGCAATATTTAATGGTAAATATCAGGATCATACCTCCTTCAGAAGGTTGGTGATGTACTTTACATGTAAAAACTCTGGAGTCTTGTCTAAATCCAATGATGACCTTCCTTTAATCTCCTTCTCAAAATCCTCTCTGTAAACTCTCTGTTAAATAAGACCAAATAATTTTTAAACTAACAAACTACTAGTTGACTGTTAAGAAAATATTAGAACAAGAGTCCCCAGAACAAAATTGACATTTTTCTTAAATAATTCTACCACTTCAGAGTCTTCTTATCAACAAGAAAATAACTCCAACTTTGTCATAAATTTCAGAATTCTACAAACAGCAGAATCTCCAAGTACCACCTCCCCTGGGAAAGCATTCTGAGTGGGGCTGCTTAACATCTCATGGTGTGTTACTGTCCCCGACAGCAGCCCATTTGGGGAAGACAACCAAGGAATTTGGCTACGTGACCGGATCACCTGACCAGTTCACCCAAAAGGGACTGGGCCCATCCACTGGAAGAATATCTGGTGGCACCGAAGCCCACTCCAGCCACAGCAGCATCTGTGGCCGTGTCTTCATCATTCTTCTCACTGTCTGCGTTTTGTGAATTCAGAGAAGCAAAATTATGGACTATAACAAAAACATGAGAGGCTTTTCCTGAGATCATCAATATTTAGTTTTACTTGTAGGAGGCTCCCCAAGAAGCTCATGGTCAAGTTTACTTCTTAGGCGTAAATACCACCTCTTTGTATCTACTCCATTGGTCCTGCATTTAAATACACTTTGCATATTAAACTTTGTCTAAGATGTTTAGATATTTTATTTTTCTAGCATAAAATTTATATGCTAAATTACATACTATAAATCTTTAAATTTGGTCCAGAGATATTTTCTGTTGGAAGATTTCTTTCACCTTAAGCCCTGATGAACAGAAACATAATGCTGAGCCTAAAAATCTAATAGTCAATGGCTATGATTGAAGGGAAGCATGTCTTAGTCTCTGCAAATGACAATTCCTCCTTAGTGACAATACCAGAAATCAGAATAGCAGAATCTGAAAGCCCATATTAACAAGAGGTGCACACAGGCCCCATTGTAAGTGAATTCCAGAGCACATAATAAATGAGTAACTACAGTTAAACATTAAAGTTGATTTACACCTGATGTCAAAACAGCCAACCAAACGCAATGAGTTAGCTCATCTGACTGATTTTTTTTTTTGTCAGTTCTTAATATTTAATTTCCCTTTTGTTCTGTGGAGCCACAGCAATGATAAAAACCAAGTGCTAGCTATCAGACTTCAAGATCTTCACAAGAAAACATGCCACGTAGAATGTATAGCACTTTTTCAGTGCTGAGGTCCTTGACATCTATATAGTGAAATTTGAACTTGGAGAATTTTCTCTTTCTCTTTTCTTTAAGTGAAAGTTTTTTATTTAAAAAAAAAAGGTAAAGGGCCTACAGTGACTTTTAAGCCTTCCTTCATTTTGAGGGTCCATCCCCAATGGAAAAAAAAAAATCACCTGAGCAATTCACATAAATTACAACAATTCAGTCTACTTTGCCCATTGATTTTTTGAGAAGCAAGGATCTATATGTTTTAGGGGATTTTAATTGGCTTAAGAAGATGTAAAACATGAAAAATATAAGTAATTACTTTCTGTTCTCTTACTGAAGAAAAAATTAAACAACTTAAGACTATTCAACAAGTCATAGTCATGTCTGAGTGCCCTTTCCCTAAGAAGATGAATTATAGCACCTCAACAAATAGCACATATAATGTTTATAAAATTCCTGTGAGAGTTTTACTGTCCAGAAGTTATCAGTTCTCCTTGTTTCCCGTTGTAATTGGGGAGTGGAAGAGGTCTTGTCCATTGAGTCTTCCTGGAGTGGAGCACTGAGGGTGTGACCAGCTGATACCACTGCCTATTATGTCTAACCTTTGGTTGTACCCACAAAATTGGGATGTTGGTTGCAGACAAAACCTTCTGTGTTTAGTGTCTTTTCCATGTCCCCACCCACTCCAAAAC